GTCCGGGACTCGAACCACAGTTGACTACGTGGGAGTCCAGCGACATAGCCATTACACTAACTGCTGGTCCCTACTTTTTTTCCTCATATCTCTTCTGCCTCTGTGCTACTTTCTAATCATCTGGTGAAGAACGTGCTTCATTGCCTTTTTTTTTTTTTTGAGTAAATTCTGTATTTTGGGGGAGGGGAGGACAGTTTTCATTTTCACGTGTGTTCTTGCTAGAGGACTGTGTCTTCCAATCAGAGAGGTATTGTAGCCAGCTTCAGGTGTTTGATTCTTCTCCCAGTATCTCAGAACCAGATGCACCTAGGGCTGGGCTTCCTGTTAAGACAGACATGTGGGACAGTATCAGTATTCTCCTTTCCAGATCTTGCTGGGTTCTGCACTTGAAGTTTGAACTCAGAAATAGACAGGCCCAGGCCTTTGTTAATGTTTTAAACTGGCCACTCTTGAACACAAGTCTCACAACTCTTGCATGTTTTCCAGAATATGCCCATTCCCCATGTGATCAAGCCAGTCCCAGGGTTCCTATCTCCACTTTCAACAGCACGACAACACTGTGGAGCAAGGAAATTGGAGGAGAAGGGTCCTTTTCTGTAGAAGCCCAACACCTGTACTAGGCAACACAGAAATAACTCTTACAGATGGGAATGTGGGGCCCATGTAGGTAGGAAACCCAGCACTTATACAGGGCAACACAGACACAACTCAGACAGAAATACAAAAGGGCAAAGGGGAGTGCCCTCATACATGTGCTCACTGGAGCATGCTTCTTTTCCCTCCTGGGCTGAAGGTCAGGGTCTCTGAGTCCAGTTATATTTTACAGTTCCTTAGCTCTCCTCCACTGTGAGGAGGAGGGTGGTACTCTAAAAGGAGGCAAAGAAGATGGTCTTCAAATGTCTTGGTTGAGGTTGGCAAGGGCAGAGGCATCAGATCAGTGAGCTGCTGAGCTCCCAAAGGGCGTAGGAGTAGCTGGTGGAACTGCTGCTGCTCCCTTGGCAATGTCTCTTCCACTGCTCCTGGATGGCTTGAATGTCTCCTTTCTCTCAGTACACTCGCCCTCTGGCTCAGGGTCAACAGGTGTCACTCTCTTGCACTGGCTCCCTCATTTTTTTTCCAGTTTGGGTTCTTATTTATTTCATATCTAGTTGATTTTTTTCTATAAGTTGAGAGATGGGGGTTAGTTTCATTCGTGTGCATATGCATAATCTAGCTTTCCCAGCATCATTTATTGAAAATTCTGTCCTTTCTCCAATGAATGTTCTTGGCACTTCTGTTTAAAATCAATAGAGTGCTGACTGAGTTGGGACTCGAGGCTGAGCTTCAGGGCTGTGAAGTACTCCCCAAGCCAGGGCTCCCTTGCAGAACCCAGTACCAGTCAGGATAGAAAGGCTCCAGGGTCCTCCACCTCTGTCTGAGTCGGGCCTCTTGGTTCAGCTTCAGGACTGCAAAGTACTCCCCAAGCCAGGGCTCCCATGCAGACCCCAGAGCCAGTCAGGTACACAAGTGTCTCCCTCTTGATCTGGTCTGTACTTTTTTTCTGAAAAACAAAACAAAACAAAACAAAAAAAACACAACCAGCTTTTTTGCCTTGTCTGTGCCTTTGTCAGGTTAATTGATATCTTCTTCCTATGCTTAGAATAGAAAGGCTCCAGGGTCCTTCGCCTTTGTGCAAGTTGGGCCTTTGCACAGTGCGCAAGTGCACTGTGCATTTTTCAATTTTTAACCCAATTTCATTTTCTTTGACATAATTTTAAATTTTTCTCTATTTTTTCTTTTAGTACTTTTCTTCTTTTTTCTTTGCTTTCTCTTCCTCTGTTTCCTACACTTTTTCTTATACCCTTTGCTCCTGTTTTACTGCTCAGCCCTTATTCACTGACTAGAGATTACTAGGTGCATAGTAGATAAATTCCGAATATTGAGAGTTTTAGGGAATTCTTTGTACCTCACTGTAGTGTGTGCCAAAATAGTGAAATATCCCTTATAAATCGAATTTCAAAACTCCTGTTTTTTTTCCACACTAGAGAACACAGTAGAAGGTAGAAAATAGATCTGAATTATTTCACAATAAGGAAACACATGGGCTCACAGTTTCACAATCCTTTTCTAACAAGTTATGCAGAAGTTAATACATCACCAAAGGGCTAATAATCGGAAAAGAGCCACAAGGATGAGAGAATCAAGTAATACATCTCTAACAAGGGAACACTGTAACTTGTCTCCATGTAGGGAACTATTAGAGGATACCGCCAAAATATCAGAGAAAGAATTTAGGATATTTATGGTAACAAAATTCTATGAGATGCAAGAGAAAGAGACATTGAGCTCCAAGAGATGAGGAGGTCTTTTCATAACATGAAAGAAGAACTGGACACCATAAAAAAGAACCAAACAGAACTGTTAGATATGAAGGCTATAATGCAGGAAATTAAAACCTCCCTCAAAAGTATTAAAAGCAGGTTAGACCATGCAGAAGCTCGAATTTCAGAAGTAGAAGGCAAATCTTATATCTTAGAAAAAATTATCAAAAATCTCACAAAACAGCCAAGAAAATAGAACATCATATACAAGAAATACTATATACCATGGAACACGTACATATCCAAATAATTGGTTTCCCAGAAGGTGAAGAATCTAATAAGGACATGGATAATCTATTCCACAAAATTCTGGAAGAAAACTTTCCAAGTCTGTAGAGGCATTCAAACATACAGAACCAAGAAATACAAAGAACCCCAGGTAGAAGCAATCCAAGAAGATCCTATCCATGGCAAATTACAGCTAGATTGACCAAAATGACAGACAAAGAGAAGACACTAATCTTGGCGAAAGAGAAATGTCCAATCACCTACGAAGGCTATCCATCAGGCTATAATACTGGATCTCTCATGGAATACCATGCAAGAAAGGAAAGAATGGGGAAATATATTCAAAGTGTTAAATGAAAAATAATTTCACACAAGAATATTATAACCAGAAAGATTATCTTTCATATGGGAAAAGAAAATAAGAATATTCTCAGATAAACAAACCCTGATAGAATTTACCAACTCAAAACCAGCTCTTCAAGAAATTCTGAAAAGAATATTCTACCAAGAGAGCTAAAGACAGACAGACAGCAACAAGAGAACAAAAAACAATCAAGAATATGGCCAACTTAATTTTAGGAACAAGTCTGGAAATAACGATAATAACATCGAATGTTAATGGACTAAAATCTCCTATCAAGAGACACAGGCTGGCGGACTGGATTAAAAATTAGAAACCCTCCATCTGCTTCCTACAAGAAACTCATCTTATGGATAAAGACATACATAGACTAAAAGCAAAGGGCTGGAAAAAGGTATTCCATGCAAATTGAAACCAGAAAAGAGCTGAAGTCTCTGTACTGATTTCGGACAAAAGAGACTTTAAGACAAAAGCTGTAAGAAGAGACAAAGAAAGGCATTATATAGTAGTAAAAATGCTAATTCACCAAGAAGGTATAACACTTGAAAATATCTATGCACCGAATTTAGGATCACCCAAATATGTAAAAGAAAGACTGAAAGATCTAAAAGGAAAGGTAGATTGTAACACGATAATTGTTGGAGATATCGACACCTCATTTTCTCCTTTAGACAGGTCAATGAGACAAAAAAAATAAACAAATAGATCCAGGACCTAAATGATAGCATGAATCAGATGGACTTGACAGACATTTATAGAATGTTCCACCCAAAAAAACACAAAATATATGTTTTTCTCAACCCTACATGGTACTTTCTCGACAATTGAATACATAATAGGACACAAAATAAGCCTTTACATATTCAAAAGCATAGAAACTACATCCAGCATCTTCTCTGACCATGATGGAATTAAACTTGATTTTAATCTCAGGAAAAACCCTCAAAAATACACAAATACGTGGAAACTAAACAACCTACTTCAACATGAATTCATTACTACTGAAGGGATTAAGACTGAAAAATAAAAGATTCACGGAAACAAGTAATAATGAGTACACAAGTGTCCATAATTTATAAGACGGCAAAATCAGTCATAAGAGGGAAGTTCATAGCAATTAGTGTACACAAGAAAAAGATGGAAAGGTGACAAAAGGACAATCTAACATCATGCCTCAGGGAATTGGAAAACATCAACAACAAAAAAGCCAAAAATGCCAGGAGAAAAGAAATAATAAAGATTTGAGCAGAAATAAATGTAATAGAAAATAAGCGAATTATACAAAAAATAATTTAAAGCAAATGTTGGTTCTTTGAAAAGATAAACAAGATTGACATACCATTAGCTAGACTAATTAAGAAGAAGAGAGAAAGGAACCAGATACATTAAATTTGTAATGAATTGGGCAACATTACAACCAACATAACAGAAATACAAAACATAATTAGGGAACCAGCAATTGGCATAATGGCTATGTTGCTGGACTCCCACGACCGCGGTTCGCATCCTGGACCCGGTGGCTTAAAACTCACACCGGGCACGTGTGCATGCGTGCCCAAGATCCCAAGAGGAGAATGGAGGAGAGGAGATTGCGGCATGACCATCCCCCCTGGGGGGTGATTTCTTGCTTTCTGTCTCTATGTCTCTCTCTGTCTGTCTGGCGAGCGCACGCGCCCTGAAGCGAAAATCTCTCTCTCAAAAAAAAAAAAACAACCATAATTAGAGGATACTATGAGTGACTATATGCCAACAAACAAGAACGCCTGGATGAGATAGACAAATTCTTGGAGACATATAATCTATTGACTCTAGAGGACATTGAAAGTCTGATTAGACCTATAACAAGCAATGATATTGAATCAGTAACAAATAACCCCAATTAAGAAAAGTCCAGGTCCTGATGGCTTCACAACTTAATTTTACAAAACTTTAAAAAATGTAACCCCCGTCCTACTCACATTGTTTCTAGAGATCCAAAAGGAAGGAACCCTTCCGAACTCATTATATGATGTTTTTCTCTTGCCAATCTTAGTATCTTGTCTTTGTCTGTGGTTTTGGTCAACCTGGCTATAATGTGTCTTGAAGAAGATCTTCTTGGGTTGATTCTATTCAGAGTCCTTTGTATTTCCTGGGACTGGATCTTCGAATGCCTCTCTAGGTTTGGAAAGTTTTCTTGCAGGATTTCATGGAATAGATTATCAATGCCCTTCTGGGTCTCTTCAGCTTCTGGAATGCCAATTATCTGGATGGTTGCACTTTTGATGGTATCTAGTAATTCTTGTATATTATTCTCAAATTTTTGGGCCATTTTCTCAGTCTTCATGGTGGATTTTTCCAGG